TTGGCTCCACCAACATCATCTCCTGGCAAATCTGCTAAATGTCTAGCAGTCATCAGGCATGCATTTTGGCAGAGTGCTCTGGTAATATCACAATTTCCTTCCCCTAAACTATCAGCTCTTTTTCAAGATACTTGCTCTGTTCCCACAGTTCTCTCTTGGGTTTCTGTTTTCCAGACATAGCCCTGTCTTTGCAATAGGAAGAGGTTTGGTTGGGGTTTTTTTACATACAGAATTTAGATCAGATGTATTCTCTATCCAAGCTGTTGGTATTTCATGAGACTGCCTCAGATCCACAGCCCACATGCCTGGACCTAAAATATGTCAGATTTTCCCCAGATATGTCCCTCTTTTGAGGGCTTTGGCCATGAGCCTGAGGTTTTTGGATATGTAGTAATCCCAGGCAAATGGCAGTTGCATGAGCATAGATCAACTGCACAGTATGTGAGCTGTTTCCCTGACACCCACAGCTATGGCTAACCCGCTGTGTGGATGGTCTGGTTGTGTGTGGTAAATCCAACCTGCTGTTTGGGCAGGTCTCCTGTGCTGAGATGGCTCTCATGTCACTTGTAAACATCCCTGGGGTTTTCTGGCAGGCAGGGAGCCCTGGATGCGTCTACGAATGTCCTACCTGAATACCAGAAGATGGCAGTGGGGCCCCTGAGAGCACAATCAGAGAACAGTAGCAGAGGTCCCTGAGACTATGGGCATAGGAGGGTACCAGGGTAAAAACACAAATCGGGACTAGGAAATTACTGAGCACTAAAGGAATACACTTGAGGTCCAGGCAGAACCCCTTTTGGAGCATAACTGGATGTGATCTTTTCTCTCCCTCTTAATGCCCAGTTGATTAATCAAGCCACAGGTGAAGTGAAGCAGTGGTGTTGCACTAGGCTTGCCTGTGGTAAGTCATGAGCATATTTTTGGAAGAGCTAGCTATTAAAAATTGAATTAAAAAAGGTTTTATTTCAGAAGGGCAAGAATCACAAAATCAGTTTCATAAGGTAAACTGTACCGAAGAGTCACAAAATTAACAAGGTCAACTATACTTAAGAGCCTTAAATGGACTTAATATGGAAGAAAGGGGGAAAGCTTTGCTTGTTTATATTAGAGGTGTAAAAATTACCTAGTTATATCACAAACAGGCAAAAATGGCAGGGAGGGTCTCTAGGCCTGATTAGATCAAGAGTCATTTCCAAATGAGTTACTGGTTCTGGGAAAGCAACTATAAGGAGTAGAAATAAGCTAGATATGAAATAATGAGAATTTGCAAAATAAATTAAAGCAAGTAGCAAAACCATCTTGAGATATGTGTATATCAAAATAGAAAACAACAAAAGGAGTATCAGAAATGTAGGAGTATTAGTGTGTAGACTGAATAGAGATTGAATAGTCTTAAATTATATCCCCAAAATTAATTACTTCATTTACAGCAGTATTGAACACAAGAGTGAAAGAAGATGGATGATGGGAAAGGCAAAATACCACATTTAAAGCCAAGAATTAAAGAATTTAATATGCTTCTGTCAGGGGAAATGACTAATCTTTATCCCAGAATTCTGAAAGCACATCTAAAATTACACATCCGTAAGCAAGTATTTTAAATAGATCTGTCAAGTTGGGTGTGGAACTGTGTGACTAGAGAATAGGAAATAAAATATTTTTTATTTGAGAACAGGACAAAGTAATCTTACAGAACTGTTGGTTTCACCTTAATAACATTCAAGGCATTAGAACTAATGCTGAAGGAGAATGTAATTACAGACAAGAGAGGTAAATGAAACCTTGACTATAATTAAATGATTTTTTGCCATAAGTAGTTCACACTAGACTAAACTGATAGTCCTTTAATCGAAGAACTTATGTTTAGCAAGGGGAAAATTATTTAGGTGAATTTTAATTGAACACTTGACACCATGCCACGATGGAAACCATCAGCTCAACCGGAAAAGATAAATGTTACTAGAGAAAAAAAAAGATTGAAGTAGGTATGCAGGCAATTTATGGACATATGAGTAAGTAGTAATGTCCAAGTTCAAGCAATGAGCTGGAGCAAAGTTGCTACTTAAGTTCCTCATGGGGCATATTTTTTTTTTTATGACTTTGAATAAAAATACAGGAATGTGGAAATATTAGTGAGGGATCATCATCAACAACTAAGTCAGAATATCATGCAGAGGAGGAAATGATGAACTGGAGGTGTGAAATTAAAGACATGGCATGAAATCACCACAACACTTTGGTACCAGTGTCAAGAATATCCTCTACAAACTGGAAGATAATTGCTGAAAAAAATGGAGGAGAAAAACCTGGGGTAATAACTAACCTCTGACTTACAGTGGGGAGTTGGTGATGTTGCATTTAGAAAGGCAAGCCTGATCCTTAAAGGTGTCTCTCATCAAGGTAAGGAATCATTGTACAGTCATTGCCATTATGCAGGCACTGATGAGATCTCACCTGTAATTCTTGCCAATTTCAAGGAGGAGCTGGAAAATGTAGTTCTACCTTGAAAATGGGAAACAACGACCTGGGTTAAATAAATCAAAACCTCTGTGTTATTCAGATAAAACACCAACAGCATTTTGTAAAAGACTTCCTGTTACCAGCAGATCCAGGAGTTGGTGCTTAATGCATGGTTAGTCTGGGGGAAACAAGTAGGCAATATTCCACTTGGGATGTTGCTGGTTTTAAACTCTCTGACTTCCTAAGTACGTCACTTACCCTGAAAGCTTACAGACAGGAATGAAGTTCACTCTTGGGCACATGAATTTCATTTAGGGTTGAAGAAGGGGAGACCTACTTTACAGAAGGACTTCAAAATCAGTAAAACACCCAAGAAATCATAGAAATGGAAGTTAAATTTAGCTGATTTGCCAATCTTACTACTTCTTGAATCTTAAAATTGGTCCTTCTCCCTTCTGAAAACTTCTAGGCTGCATCTAGGATTGTGCCTTAGCCTCAGCAAATAGACTCCTGGCTTATGCACCAGATGTTGTTTGAATACAGGGAAGAATTGTTGGGGATGAGGGTTTGCTCAGAGTAGTGGAATGGGTTTGTGGTCTAATTCAAGCTGCTGTCCACAGTGTGCTTCAGCAAAACCACATAGCCCTCAGCTACGTTACTAAGCAAAATACTCAATTTCTGTTAGATATTATCCAGATCAACCACTTAACAGAACACAGAGGAGACTAGGATGTGTGGTAGCTTAATGAAGATTTACAGACTTACAGGAATAAAGGTTAAAGGGAAATGCAAGGATGTTCTAAGATGTGTGAATCATGCTCCAGGATCTAAAACAGTGTGACAAGGCTTGGAAAAAAACAGGTGCTACGTTATCATTATTGGAACTATCCTTTCAGATGCCTGGTTCTGGTCACTGTCAGAAACAGGAGCCTGAACCAGGTGTGGCCCTTCGTGTCCTGTCTTCCTCTGTTAGAACAACTACCCCGGGTAAAAAAAATGAAGGGGTCTCTTATTTCTTTGAGTAGGCAAATGTATCCCGTAATCTTCATCTCTAGGTAGTGTTTGAGCCCTGTATCTGACTGGCACCCTACTCTTTTTTTCATGCTTCTTTCACAAGCATACATAACTCAAAAATAAAACTTCATTCGTCCTTGTGAAAAACATAGGGGCTTGGCTGAAAAAGGTGCAGAAATGTTTGCCTTTCTGCTCCAGCATAAATCCTCTGTATGAAGCTCTTTCTTTCCTAGCCATGGACTTTCTTTGAATGTCTGTGATTTTCTAAATAACACAGAATCAGATAATAACGTAAAAAGAGGGCGAATCCCTGTTAAATCAAGCTAAGGGTTGAAGACAAGGGTAGGGGAAGACAGGATGGTGGGTGATGAAAATATCCTAGCAAAGGCCTGCACAACAGGCAGGGGAGCAGAAACAGTGATTGCATGAGCCAATGTTATGCTGTTGTTCTGTACTTTAGGCACCACTACTGTCTGGGACTGTTCTCAAGCAGGGTTACAGCATTATTACTGAAGAGCACTTTGTAAAATTATACAGTCTGTGAGATAAAATCTAGCAATAGAAGAAAAATAGCTGGGAGGTCTTGAAAGGGCCAGCTCAGTCTCCTCTTCATCAGCTCAGGAAGGAAAGAGCACTGTCTCGGAAGGGAAGATAGGAGGTTGTATCAAGGCATCAAGCTGTGTAATTCCAAAACCCCACCCTGGCAAAAGAAGCAGGGGTGAAACGCTGATGGGTAATGTCTACCTGGCACTTTGTTCTCAGTCATGAGAAATGCACTTTTTTTGTGGTTGTTTTGCTGCAAAACAGAGCCTTTGCATAGCCCTAGGGATGGAGTTACAATGGTTTGTATGAGCAGCAATAAGTGAGCAGTAACAGTAATTTACCAACTATCTTTTATGCTAAGATCTTGAAGCCAGGATGACAAATATTTCCTAGTGGATTTAGCCGCTAGATCAGTGGTTTCCCACTGCTTCTGGGTCGCAGAAGTTGTTTCCCAATAGAGATGACAATCCCTTCATGGTCAGTCTACACCTACTAACACTTTTTCCTCATCACCTTTCACAGACCTTTCATAGTTGTAGTAAATGAAACACCCCAGCAGATGCATCCTATGAGGCTGAAAAACACAGGGGATAGCAAGACAAAAAATCTCAGACAATGCTAATAGCATTTGTTCACTCGAGTCCTTCTGGAATGGGGAGCTTAAACAGAAGTTGCAGAATCCATCATTTGGAGAGAAGGAAAAGTTTATTGGTACATTTATAAAAGGAAATAATCTCTATAATACATTGTTATAAATATTTATAAATATTTTGTGGGGCTTAAGGCCCACTCAAATAAATAAATAAATATTGCAATATAAATAAGTAAGGCTTTCTTCTAGCTGGTGATTGCCAGCATCTCCTTTGAAGAATTAATTCTTTCAACATTTCTATACAGCTCTCTATAGTTACAAATATGTTCTTTGATGCAAAATCCACTGTGAATTCACTCTTAGCTTAGGGACTAAATCCACTGACTCCTTTGTTCTAATGTACAGAATATATAGAGAATATATAGACTATAGAGTTGGTACAGAGATTTAACCCCACCAACATTTCTCATCAAAGTTTGATATAGATCAAGAAAGAACTCTTCACAATTAAAATTGCTGTAGGTCTGTTGACTTGGATCCTGGACAGCTCTGTGGACTTACTTATGGCAGTTTAAGCAGAATGAAAACTTTGCTTCTGTAATTGCAGTCCAGAGTTCTCAAGGAGCAGAAGCCAAGAAGAATGGTATAGGAATCAAGTTGAATTAATAAACTAGAATATATAAATGAAATCATACCTCTCCACTGTATAGACAGCAAGGTAAAAAGTCTTGCTTTAATTTGGGTAAGCAGGAAAGTATGCAGCTACCTGCCTGCCTTGAAATTCTCCTAAATTCATTAGAATCACTCCTTTCCTTTTGAGACCAATCAAAACTATGATGAGTTCAGAGGAGAGAAAACATCAAAATACGAGTCAGAACCCTTGGTCTAATCCTCATCATTTGACTTGTCCTGTGCACCTAAGACCTTACATCAGTTAAGTTTAGTGGTGATCCTGGAACTTCTCTCTGGCTTGGAAATATGCAAAACTAGTGTTTCTACATTATGTTTCCATATTGTGATGGTAGAACTCAGTCAATAGAGATAGAGAAGCACTAGAGAGACAGTAAGACTCTCTTCTTTTTTTCTTAGACCTCAGTTTGGATTCAGTAAGTGTCAGAAATTACTCTTTCTACACAAGACCATTTGATCCTGTCCTGTTTTCCTGTCAGTTATTTCCGTTTTCCATGTGTGCTGCTCCTATGACAGCAGAGTGTTCACTTTTTTACTCATACGGGCATAAAAAGAGACTGAAGAGCCAACTTAGCAGCAAAAAACATAAATAGTAATTTTTATATAATAATATAACAGTTTGTCTGCTGTGTTTGCACAGCCAGGGATGGTGCTAATAAGGGATTCCCTGTCTTTGTTGGCGTCTCAGATGCTCCAGGGCTCTTCCCAGTTACATCACATGCATAATATTGGTTTCTTGTTTCATTCAGGTGAATTAGCATTTTTGCTGATGCACACTTACAGTCGTGATTCAGACCCTAAAATGTTCGGTTTGTATTCTTCTTTTAAAAAATTTATCTTCTTTCCAGTAAAGCACATCCCCATCTGGAAAATGACCAACTCTTTTTTTTCCATAAACTGTCATTTATAGGTACAAAATTTGAAATTAAGGATTTCTTCCCAGGATTTCCAGTAGCCATTTCAACATTCAAACTGAATATGCCAGACAATTCCTTTTGCCTATTATATTCACCCATGTCTTCAATTTGCAAGCAGTGGGACCACAGTTATTTTGTAATATAGAAGCGAGGACTTGCGTACCTCCTGGCATCCATCATAGCGTGAGGGTCATCTGGGTTGACCACATCGTTCTGGTTGATTCTCATGGGTTCTCTGGGCACGTGGGGAAAATCTGTTTGCTGCTGCAGCTGAGATCCAAACAGAGAGATCTTTCTCTGTGGGACCAGGATCTGATGAGGATCCATTGGGTCGATATCTGCGCTTCTAGTGTTTCTGTGGGGTTCAGGTGTGTTGAATCGAAACAGAGGGATTTCATTTCTCCTGGATAAAAACTGGGAGTATGGTGGTGGATTCACACCAGGGAGGAAAGCTTGTTTAACTCTGCCTAAGCTAACCAGGAAGTTGTGTTTGGGAGATTGGTACACATCGTATCCATTTTCCAGCGTCTTGTGGTTGAACACACAGTCGTCTTGACTGAAGTAATGCTTAGGGGAAAAAGAAAGACACCTGTAAGCAGAGGAACTGGTGAATGCCAGGTTCCAACTAAAGATGGAAAAAGGGGCAAGATCTTGCAGCAAATGTGTTTCTGATCTGCCAGCCCTGTAACTCAGGCTTAGCTGTAGATCTGAGATGCTTGCCCATGCTTTCACCAAAGGTATTATAACAATAACACTGTTTTCTGTCAGAGAAATTGTTCGAGCACTGTTCGAGCTACTCCCAGCCCATGGCTCTATGCTACAGCAGGAATTCAGATTGATCCATCACTGGATCTTGTTCTGCCCTCATTTACACAAGCAGGAACTCAGGTGGTTTTTGTCAGCTCTACAACTCAATACAGTCAAAGAACAGGGGGAAGTTTAACTGAAGCGGCAGGTTCTCAGCTCATTTAAATCTGCATCCTCCTGCTGTAGCTGTACAGACTTGTCCTAGCTGAGGAAGTAGGCACCGTGGTTGCAGACTGAACCTGCCTTTCAGGTTCGTCTTAGTAAAGGTCACTCACCGAACCAAAAATGTTTCCTCTCATGTCCATACACAGGTAGCGTCCACTCTTCACGCCTGTGATTATCACTGAGCCAGCACCCTCGGACTTGATCATTAGAGCACCTGTTTATTAAAACAAAGATGTCGAGTCCATGACCCAGTTTGACATTGCACCGTTGCTTTGCAGACCCACAGATGCTCTGGCTGGAAGTGTCCTCTGGGGGTCTGAACGAACCTCCCCATGGAACCTGGGGCTATTTGTCCACCCAAGATCGGGTTAGCTGTTGGCTTTGTCTGAGTTTTGGAATGCCCCTAGGATGAAGACACCACCACCCCCCTGGGTGCCCTGTTCCAGTGCTGTACTGACTCCCGAAGACAACTTTTTATTTCCCTTAGCATCTTCTCTGAAGTCTCAAACCACAGTGTGGGGACATTGCCTTTAGTTCTGTCGCTGGCCACTACCAAGGGGAGTTTGTCTCTCTCACCTTTGTGACTGCCCTGTGTTATTAGGTCATCTTTAGCCTCCTTTTTGCTATACTAAATAAGCCCATCTCCCTCAGCCTTTCCTGACAGATCGTGCTCAAGGCCCCTGATCCTCAGAAAACCCTCTGCCAGAGCAGCTCCAGTTTCTCCCCATCCACCTTGAACTGGGGCTGCTGTAGAGCTCCAAGAGCAGTTTCACCAGTGCTGGGTAACGTGGTAATAACTTTCCTTGATCTGCTGATCACAGTAGATGGTTTACCTTCCTCTCAATGCGAGTGTTTGACTCAGTGCCTGCTGTAACTCCCAGGTCCTATCCAGGAGAGCTGTACACACCCAGCCCGTGCAGCTGCAGGGGGCTGTTGCAGCCCTTGTGAAGAACTTTTCAGTTCTCATTTATCTCAGTGGTACTGTGGTGACCCAGCAGAGATTCAGTGACCCTGCCTTTAATGACCTCCTTTGTTGTCTGATTTTTTACCCTTCTTGCTCCACCAGTCTCGATACTGGTGTGTTTGCTTCATGGCAGATATGGGAAAAACATGTTTCCCTGTCTGTTCTCTAAAACATCACTCTTGTTCTTGACCCATAAACCTAAAATGGGTTTTATGGCACCTTTAAAGATGCAGGAAGAATAACAACAAGACAGTGCAAGTTTTGTTGCCAGTGTTCATTACTTTCATTAGTAATTCCTAAAAAAGCCCCCAAAAACACAAAACAAAAAAATAGCAGAACATGATCCTTTTTTCTCCTTGATTATATGATAACTTAGAAAACCTCCTTTGCTGCTTATAGAGTTCTGTGAAAACATCATTACTTATGCTTATGTTTTTAGTTGAGTTTATGAAGAAGACTCTGTGCAGCAATAATACTGAACATGACTTTATGATTCCTAGCTACCTGTGATGTGAGTGCTGCTAAAGAGAAGTACTTCTGAAATGCTATGAAAGAACTATAAGTCTTAAAAAAACCCCTAATTTTTCTATCACCCATACTGTTTGGGCCAGGTTTTCTGCAAAGGAAGAAAAATACCTCAGTTTTCCATGAAAATTATGATAAGACAATTTAAGAACCTTTTAGTTACAAGAGGGAATATTTTTTTCCCCTCCAAAAGATATACTCCTCTGTCTGCCTGCCTAACAAGAGAAGGGGATTTTCTATAGGTAGTGAAATAGCAAAAGCCTTGTTCTCCCTCCCTTACTCCCCTGAAGACTGAGGTTCCATAGTAAGCTACTTACTGTAAATGGTTTGGTGAGGAGCACCGTCAACATAGCCATCAGCATTGATTTGGAGATGGAAGCTGTTCCTCTCTGTATCTGTGTAGAGGTGCATCAGGCGATCTTCATTCCCCCAGCTGGGATTCATCAGTGGAGAGGAGTTGGGAAAGGCAAGGGTAGCCTTCAGGCTACAGAGTACCAGCAGCAGGTAGTAAGCACTGCTCTGTGGCATGGCTCACCCTTCCTTTCAGTTGGTCGGTATCTGCAACTTGATGTGAGTCTGTGCTTCTCGCTTGCTTCTGGTCACCTGTGTTTGGAGAGTGAATCCTCAGATAAGTTCCCTTCTTTTCTGCAGTCTTATAAAGGGCAACAAAGTGACATCACACAGGAAAAACTTCTCCACATCCTTGATTTTTGTCAAAGCAACATTTTAAGTGGCCCAAAACCTCAAGGGAAGGATCTCTGGCTAAGGTGCGGGGGGGAAGAAATGTAAGGTTTCTAAAGACAGCTCACGAAAGCTAATCATATGTTCAAATGTTATCGACAACCCTGTGACATCTGAAAGCTTCCCACGCCCCTACTGTTAGGTCCAGGAAGAGCAATCCACTGCAGTCAGTTTACTTTTACCGAAGGGAATGACCCTCCAAACCTGAACAATCCCTTTTTTTTCAGACGTGTTTATTCAGATTGCCGCCTGCCCTCTCGGTTTCCAAACTAGATCTGATTTACTGGAAACAGCAAATACTGATACAATATTTTGTGAATGTATCAAAAGCTGATATTAGTTTGCTCTGGGCCTGATTCCTCCTTCTTTATGGTGTAAGTTTAGCAGTAAGCCTGTGGTGCTGATGTTTGTGTCACTCCATTTAAGCAAAGGAAACTTGACATGAGCATGACCCACTTCAGATAAGTTGTCCCTTTTATTTCTCCTGATTAATTTTGAGTCACTTAAATAATCTAAGGCTGGCTGAACAGCTGAAAATTACCTATAAAACATTTAAAACTGCATGTTTGTTCCTGCATTGCGCATCTGGCTGGCAGTCTTTAATGGAGTCATAGGGGTTAGTGTGACCAGTAGATCTGAGATCTGAATCAAACCTGAATCCCTCATACTGGCACATTTTTAGTGCTTCAGGTACAGCAGGCAAGCTTGGAAGGACTACAAGGGGAAAAGTAATAAGTGGGCAGTAATGTTAAAAACTGCTCCAGGACACAATACCTGCTTTCCAGTTGTCCTGCCGATGTTCTGCATCTTTACAAACAAATTTTCTGATCTAAAAAAAAAACAAAAAACCCTTCAATTTATTGTATGAAAATGCTGTAGTAATGCAACACTGTGTAAAGAGTGATAGGAAGAACAGGTTATAAAACAAGACTGTGTTAAGTTTTCATTCAAAAATAAATACAAAACTGAAAAGAGTACTGGACAATAATTTTATCTTTTTTTTTTTTGAGGAGAAATGAGGATTTTGATTGTAGCAGTCTTAGGTTCAGTTACAATCTCTTGTTGGACAGAGTACGAAAAATTCTTAGTTTCATTAACAAGCTGTGGAGCAATGCTGCCAGCACCAAACATGGATTGATGGATTGATACAAGTGAAACCAACTGAAGAAGCTGATTTGATTTGCTTTTATTGCTTAAAATTAGCAAAACACTGCCAAATTCTTCTGTCATACCTGTGTAAATCCAGAGACTTGCATCAGTGTATATACACTGCGTAAACGACAGCATTGTTTAGCCAAAGTGTATAAGGGTCGTATCTTTCACTAAGTAGAGTGACAAAGCTGTGTTCACTGAAAGGCCAGCTAGGCTGCAGACATTTTACTGGTTATAATGTCTGACATGCTTCAATTTAAAGGATACCTTGGAAAGAAAGTAGGATTGCTTTTTCTTTTTAAAGTGACATGTCTATTTATTGTTGAAATTATCCACCCATATTTCTCACTCTGGTATTAAAACAAATGTTTGGGGGGGGTTGGTTGGTTTTTTGTTTGTTTGTTTTGTTTTTCTTTTGTTCCCTTCCACTAGAGTACCATGTAAATGTGCATATGTATACCTCAGAAGCTGTTGCAAAGGTTTCTGTGAGAGTCACTCATGTGAGAGGCACTCATGTCCTTCTGTGAGAGGGTGGGGTGTCCTCTTGGGGGTTTTTGTGATTCTTTTGTGAACGCAGTTTTTCTGCTTTGATGTTTCATATTCCTCATGACATTTTTCTGTGCTTGCCATTGTTCACCGAGCTGATCTCTCTCCACTGTTATAGCTGCAGAGAAACAGATCTCAGATGTTAGAAAAAAGCATTGAAACCCCATTGTAGCACACGCCAGTGGTGAGGAGCTGTTTCGGTGTTTTATGTGTCAAAGAAGCAAAGACTGCTCCCACATGCTTAAGTTGTTTGGCATATTCCAAATTTTCCTGTAGGGTCAGCTTAACTCCAGACTCCTCAGAGTTCTGTTTAAGCTGCTGGGCTAAAGTGAATGGATTTAAGCCTCTCTGAAGGTCATAAGGCAAATTTTGCCTTTTCGTAGGCCTTTGTTTTAAATCTATGAATGACCACTGCACGTTGTTCTTTTTAACAGTCCATTTCTTTTTTATTCCAGGCTGCTCCATTTATTCCTTCTGGTTGCCACTTACCTTCTCCTTGGTATGCCACTTACCTTCTCCTACCCATTCTGTTACTGAAGTGACCAGGTGTATGAAAGCTTGTTGACTTCTTCAGCTGTGTCTGTTAGTGATGACAGGCCTTTCTTCTCATGTATTGTTATGCTGTTACAACAGCAATATTTCTGCACCCTTACCACATATGTCGGTATTGCTTTTTTAAGATTTCTTATATTGTTCTGAGACGTTTGATGAATCAAGGCAGCTTTTCTCAGTTCTCAGTAAGTAATCAGCTGCAGTCTTACAGATACTATTTGATTTAGAAAAAAGAAAGAAAACTAGAACTGAATTTGAAGAGCAAAAACTTTTCAGCGAACTCAGAACTGCTGTTCATCTTTAACTGCTAACTTAGTCCAAATGGATATTCAGGTAGTGCTCAGTTTTGTTCAAATAGGAAAACAGCTTACTCCCTTCCATGAGGAGCCTACACTTTTAATCAGACAGGAGGGAAAGTGGGTGCTGTGAAAACAGCCATGTGAGTACACGTGAAGCATGAGACATGCGGATGGGAAAGTAGGTCTGATCTATACTTTAGGACCGAACACTTATGATTCTATGGTCAAGATGGCCACATTGTCCATGTCCCATCTCAGCGATGTTATACAGCCAGTGTCAAGTGCCACAGTGGCACAGGGCTTTCCTTGGAAGCATCCTGCAGCTGGGAGACAGCCTGGAGTTACCACCCATGGGGGATGTCAGGAACCACTGAGGTAAAGCAAAGAAATTTTCCCTTTGGAGCAAGGTTGAAAGGATGGATGAGAAGCTCACAGGCTGAAATTTGAAGAAACTATTGATATTCTGCCCTTTAGTGTCTCATTCCCCTCCCTCTCTCTGCCATGACTGCTTTAAGTTTCAGCATTAAGTCATTTTTGGATCAAAACTACAGTTTCAAATCCGTAAAACCCTGATCTCACTAACTGTATGTCATCCCTTGTCCCACTGCTAGTAAAGTAACTCCTTTCTTTTACTGCTTATCACTGCAATCAACTGCAGAGGACTTACAGGGGAAAGGCAAGTTTTTTACAACAAATCCAAGTCACTACAAGTGATTTGCTCTCAGTCACTTTTTACAGACTCCTTGAAAATTGTTTATGCACCACCCAAAATTTTCAGGCTAAAAAAGGGAGCTTCCTGCTCAGTACAATGGGGTTGCCTTCCCTGTTACTGCCTGCGAGTGAAAATGCACGTTCCCTCTCAGTGCTGGCCAAGCTTTCATCATGTAGGAGCACCTGTAGCACTATTGCTTAATAAAGCATATTGACTTCTATTTAAACAGGTGTGTGGCTTGTCCTTTTGCAGAACTCTGTGCTCTCTGGGTGTCTGGGATGGCCTCAGGAAGCCTTTTGCTCTCTGCTGTTTCAAAGATCACAAGGGAGTTTGGGTTGACAGATTTGAAACCACCTCTGCTTTAAACAATTTCCCTTGCACTGCATCTCTTCAAAAAAGGCAGGGAAATCAGGGGCCCTTCTCTCTGCCTCCCCTTCCTTAAAGTCACCGTAATAACTGGCTCTGGGACAATCACATCTTTTGTGTATTTGCGTTGCAAATACAAGGGTGGAGTGGCTCTCCAGAATTTATTCTAGGAATAATGACGCACTAAGCCAACGGTACATACAGTGGATGCTCTGTGTGTCTGTGTGTGCAGGAGCCTTTGCCACAGACTTTACCCGGTGTTGTTAAACACATCCTGAGTGACCTTATTTGGATGTCCCATTCTTGTCACACTGCCCACGACTAAAGAAAACATCCTGGCTAGGTTCACCTACGTGAAACAAATGAGTTAAGCATAGCCCACTGGGTCTGGGACTGCAGTGTGTGCTAGAAGTTTCTGCAATGTGCTTGCCAAATATATTGTTTTCTGTCTTTTATTCCCCCCCCCCCCCTTTCTCTATGTAGTAGACATTGCTAATTTCAGAAGTGCTAAGTCACTTGCGCAGGCAGCTCAGACACTGATATTGCTAGAGTAGCTTCCTTGATGCCTTTCTCCACAGGATGGGGGATGTATGGTCTTCCTGAGAAGTGTCCATCCTTTATTCTTGACACTTTTACTTCCAGTCAGGCAGAAGACTGGTGTAATATTCCAGCTGTGGTTCACGGGACCAAAAAGGGGGGCAGATTTTTACCTCCGGCTTTAGAGGCTGTCTGCTGTCAACATTTAGTTCAACAAAGGCAGAAAGGGCCCCAGTGTTTCACTGTATTTTGAGGAGGAGGTAGATAAGAAAACAGACTTCCTTGCCTGTAAATGTCCCAGATGGGCATTTGTGATGCTGTTTGTGTTGTTTTGTTCTAGCTAACTGAAATGAAGGGCCTCATTCCTCCTCCAGCTGAAATCCTTGGCAAAGCTCCCAGTCAAAGCAGAACCAGTCCGTAAAAGGTTGTGTTTTCTGAACAGAGAGTGTTTCTGTCATTTTAAAGGGTCTGAATTTTCTTAGGTATTGTAGACTAGAGCTACTGATACCCTCCATTTCCAAAGAGCTGCTTGCAGTTTATTGAAATGGAGTGTCCCAGGTTGTAGGACCCATTTCTCTGTGAATGGGAAGCCCCTTTCCAATGGAGACATGCTTCTCCTGTAGCTCAGGTCAGCATCTAGACATAACCAACCCCACAGATTATCTGACATGCTTGGTAGTAGGTACATGAGAGGATGTCCTTGCCCACATGAGGTCCCAGCATACGATTAAGTGGGTGATAAGTGGTCAAGATGGGAGGGAGTGAGTACAACAAAAAAAATGAAGGAAGAGTGCACAGAGACATCTTTTCGCATTTGGCTGTGGTAGCTGCTGCTTTTTGTATAGGAGCAGACTCTGAGGTAATCTGCTAGAGTGGTGCAGGTGGTTGAACTAAATGCCCTTTGTCAGTGTCTTGTGGTATCAAGTTCTCCTGATAATCTAAATCTGGCTTAAAATATGTATATATATTTAAAACCATGTAATTCCACCTCGGTATGCAACGCACAATTGCATCTAAGGTGCCATAAGAATGAAAGAGTTTCAAGTTAATTTTGTCCCTACACACATACTTGTATCATCTCTCAGGTTTTTTTTCTCCTCAAAACTAGACAGCCCAGCTCAGTCTGAGCTCTCGCATGGAGGTCTCTGCATGCTTTCTCTGAGCATCCTTTGATTGTTGTTTTTGCTGCTCAGATCCCATACTGAAGATCTTGATTTGCTTCAGTCTACCCTCTTTAAAATAAAATCCATATGCCTAACAATAAGAACCCACAGCACTTGTCCATGCCTTGTTTCATTATAAGAACCTTCTTTCTTCCCTGGACACATCCCCATTGTTTCCTACATCCTATAATGCAGTATAAACAGAAATGTGCCTTTGGGGAAGCTTTCTTTTCCTGTGCTATTTTTCAGACTTGAAATTGAAGCATTTGGGTGTTCAGGGTTGAGGGGAACTTAAATGTCTTGATGCTTTTGTAATCTTTGGTGTTTGATTATGGCCACTGTTCTGAATGCAAACCCTCAAAGCCAAATGCTGTTGAAATAGTTTTGCTGTTGAACTAGTTAAGGAAATTTTTTTCTCCTGCACATCAACACACACAAAGTAGAGAACTCAGTTTTACAGATACTTTTATAGATGTGTGAACTCCTTTTCTCATAAAACCATGTAGCAATTGGCAGCACTCAGGTTGGAGTCCAGTGCTGTAAAATGTAGTTTGCTAGCATGGCAAACTACTTGCAGCCTTTGAAGGTGT